TTTTTCTCTTTTATTTCTACTTTGTTCTGTCTCTTCATTTGTGAGTTTTTTCTAACTCTGATGTATGTGTCATATCACTTTCTTAACGTTTTTTGTCTTTTTTGAAATAAAGGTATAATTTTAATCTATTCTCTTAATGCATTTTGGGGGGAGTTTGCACCACAGCGCTTTTAGTTTCTTGATCAGGGATCAGCCCCCCACCCCTTGCAGTGGAAACATGCAGTCTTAACCACTGGACAGCCAGGGAAGGCTCTCTTACGCGTATTTTTCTGAGATGCTTTCTTTTACTCCTCCCGTGTTTTATTATGGGCTTCCCAGGTGGCTCAGTGGTAAAGAATATGCCTGAAAATGCAGGAGACACAGGTTGGATCCCTGGGTTGGGAAGGTCCCTGGAGAAGGAAATGGCAACCCACTACAGTATTCTTGCCTGGGAAATCCCATGGACAGAGGAGTCTGGCGGCTACTGTCCACGGAGTTGCAAAAGAGAAGGATGGACTTAGCTACTAAGCAACATTTTATTACAATGATTTTGTGTGGAATTTGAGATCTATGCTTTCTTTTCTCTCATTCTTATATGAGTTTTTCTAAATTTTTAGATTATTTGGTTCAGGGTATGTTTTGTAATCAATTTTGTTGTTTTTGAATAGTGTTAAGAATAAAGTGATTGCTTTTTCAGTTTTGCTATATGTTTATCTCTGTTTATTTTTGTTTAGTTGATAAGTTGTGTCTGACTCTTTTGCAACCCCATGGACTGTAGCCCACCAGGCTCCTCTGTCCATGGAATTCTCCAGGCAAAAATACTGGAGTGGGTTGCCATTTCCTTTTCCAGGGGATCTTCCTGACCCAGGGATTGAACCCGAGTCTCTTGCTTGGCAGGTGGATTCTTTACCACTGAGCCACCTAGGAAGGCTTCTTTATCCCTATTCATTGTTTATCTGGAACTTTTCTTTGCTTTTCTGTTGTGCCTTTTTCTACAATGAAATTTTGATTCCATTCCTAGCAGTTTCCACTCATATGCAGCTCTGTTCTATAAGGGAGCTGTAGCTGGTCAGTGTAAAGAGTTCATAGGAGCTAGACTGCTCCCATTTCAGTTGTGGGTTCCTTTGCTATTGGATTGAGCAGCAGCGTCCTCTGCCCTGTCTCATCTGCTGTCATCAGATTGGCCTGCCATGCTCCCCACTGAACACCTACCCTGTTAGCACTTTGGGGTGGCTTCTCCTGGTCTCAGATGGGTCCCATTCTGTGTTGCATTGCTTTGCTTTCTTCAACACTGATGAAGATGATTACTTCAGTATTATGGCTGTTGGTTTGTCCTCATCTGTTTGGAGTTTGGGGGGAGAAACCTTGTTTCCTGGTTATGTTATAAATGTGCTGTTGGGTTTTCATTGCTTCTTTAGTTCTCTGTATTTCCTTTGGGATTCAGAGATTTAAGAATGCTGCCTTCCCAAGACTTTCCCCTTAAAAGCATGTCGAAGAGGCAACTTTGAAAAATGCAGATTTCAGAGATGACATTGTAGGGTTATTAAAAAATTTTTAAATCACCTGTACAGCAATGTAGAAATCTTATTTTTCCTAGTTCCTCTTCTAAAACTCATACTGTACCCAAAAACATCCCCAAATTATATACATGACTGTTTAAGAAAGATGAGCATGTGGTGACAAATTTCAGAATTGGAGCTTCATCAAACATTTAAATGCATTATTCTGAAGAATAGAATATTATTGTCAGTGACTGCAGAAGTTTAACCCTGATGTTAATAGTTTTCTATTTCTCTGTAGAGACGTAAACTAAAGCATCTGAATGTATTCTCAGCTGACACAGCATAGCTGTCTCTGCCACGTGTGTGGTGCTTCCCCACCAACAGTCAGCTTATATGCTGCTGTTTAGTCGCTCAGTTGTGTCGGGCTCTTTTGTGACCCCATGGACTGTAGCCCACCAGGCTCCTCTGTCCATGGGATTCCCCAGGCAAGAATCCGGGAGTGAGTTGCCATTTCCTTCTCCAGGGGATCTTCCTGACCCAGGGATTGAACTCTCATCTCCTTCTTTGCAGGTGGATTCTTTACCATTAGCTGCCAGGGATGCCGGTTAGCTTTTATACGTTGATATTGATATGTAGAGATAAATAGGGAAATAGTTTCAATATAATATGAGTGGGTTTTGGTTTATATATGATTTTTTTCTAAACTGGACAAGGGAATCCTGAATAATGATGGTAGAATTTCATACTCCACACAGTTTTTAATTAAAAGTAGTGACCTGTATCAGGGATTCCCCCTGGGGAGGGGACACCCTGGTCTGCTGTGGACTCCTCTTCTCCTTGGCAGTTTGCATTGCCTTTCGTGTCCATTTTTGCAGTCTTCCTGCCGTAAAGTGCCAGTTTTCGGCTACCGTAAACCTTTGTTTCTACTTCTGTTTTTAATACCTTTTATTAAACTCTGAGGTAGCATTTTAGCTGCTCTTAGCTGCTTACCTGGGGTGTCCAGGTCATTTCTGGAAGTCCCCATCATCAGGGTTAGGGTTAGTGCTGTGGTCACAGATTTACAGGAGCTTTGGCTGACCTGCCTCCCGTGTACCCTTCTCCACCCTCCTGGACCCGTTTGTCCCCATAAACCTTGTTATTTTTAGGGTTGCAGTGTGAAAATTTTCCAGGAATGCGTGTATGTATTTACATTATAGCAGATGTACCAAGAGACTTCTTCAAGAAAATGCTGGAGCTTAGAGTAGTAAGTGTAATAAGGCTTTGCAGCATCATTTCTGTTCTTAAGGACTTTATGAAAAGAGCCCCTATGATTTTCTGGTAATGAAGATCCAGTGTTTCAGATTTGAGGCTTCCTGTTCATCATTTTTAAGTGCAGGGGAATAGTAAACAGTGGAGGAATTACATTGTGGATCACTGACACATTATTTTGTGCTAAGGAGATTGTCTTGGTGAACCTACCTAAAATAAGAGAAACTGGTGAGAAAAGTAAAATTCAGTATTGAATGATATTTGCAATATTATCTTTTTTTGTTTTGATCCAGATAGGGAATTGTGGAATTGTAATTTTGGCTATTTGCAATACCAAAGTTTGTTTCAGAGACAGTAAAATAATATTCAACTTTTAGAAAATGCACAATAGTATATTATTATTTGCTGTGGAAAAGTCTAATCATTATCAAAAGATTTCAGGTACTTTCATTGAAACAACAAGAAATTATAGGCCAGTATTACAGTAATGTAAGAAAATTGCTCATGTAGGAGATAACCGGAAGAATTGTACGAATGACAAAAATGGACGTACAAATGGAAAAAATTCAGGTTATTGCATGGAGTATACTATTTTAGTCGGTAATACAGATCTTCTTTAATTTATGGTAGGGTTATGTCCTGATAAACCCACTGTAAATTGAAAATGTTGTAAGCTGAAAATGCACTTACACACTCACCCTCCCTGACATCATAGCTTATCCTGGCCTACCTTAACATGCTTGGAACACTTTTTAAGTGTTGAATATCTTATTTAACTTACTGAATACTGTACTGAAAGTGAAAATAGCTGTATGGATACAGAATGGTTGTGAGTGATCATGATCAAGTTGGTGGCTGTAGCCCTGCATCTCACGAGAGTAGAGTGCCTGCATGCTGCTGTGTTGCTAGCCTGGGGAAAAACGGAACTTCAGAGCACAGTTTCTACTGAGTATCATGTATTGCTTTCACACTTTGACTTGTAAAAGTCAAAATATCTTTAAGTCAAGCTATCATAACTCTGTATTGCAAAATAGTGTAAACTGATAATGTGGATTTCCCTCCCCTCGCCACCCCCCCCACCCCCCCCATAAGGAAGCTAATAGAGAACTTTGTTAAAGAATAGACTCCTCAGTGTTGGTTTGGACCTTTTGAGGATTGAGGTTGACATTAGATGGATGGCGGTGGACAGGCTCTATTATTTTTATGTCATTTTTGGTTATATGTGATATGCCAGCAGATTCCAGTGGGGTTCACTCATGGAAATGACCCCTGTTCTTTTGAGTAATTGTGAGGTGTTTGTGTGGTATAATGACATTAATGAATACTTTCATGACTCTTGTCAGGTTTTTTTCTGTGTTTTCTTCTGTTGTTAGATATTATTTCTGTTTGTTTCTCCTTGATATGAAAAAAAGAGAATAAAGCATTTTACAACATATTTTATCTTAAAAATCTGAGAGAAATGACATATATTGGCTTCAGGCATATAGCCTGACTCAGTATTTTTATATATTGCAAAATGATCACCACAATAAGTCGAATTAATATCTGTCACCATTCTTGGTTACAGAATTTTTTCTTGTGATGAGAGCTTTTAAGATTTATTGCAATTTTCATGTATGCAATACAGTATTATAAGGATGGTCACTATGCTGTACATTATGTCACCATGACTTACAGTATTTTATAACCCTTCGTACCTTTTGATAACACTTATCATCCATTTCATTCATCCCCATCTCCCTGCCTCTGGCAACCACCAGTCTGTCCTCGGTGAGCTTGTGTTTTGTCTTTGTTTCTGGTTTTTAATCCCACATGTAAGTGAGACCATGTGGTGTAAGTCTTTCTCTGTCTGACTCTTCACTTAATGAGATGCCCTCTAGGTTTATCCACGGTGTCACTGGTGACAGGAGTTCATTTTTTATGGCTGAATAATATCCCATTGTTTATGCACATGCATATATATTCACTGCATTATTTATAATAGGCAAGATATGGAAACAACCTAAGTGTCCATCAATTGATAATAGATAAAATTGGCTATTGTAAATAATGCAGTGAACATATTTTATTATTTTAAAAGTGTGTAACATGTAGGGAATTCCCTGGTGGCCCAGTGGTTAGGACTTGGCGCTTGCATTGCTGTGGCCTAGGTTCAGTCCCTGATTGGGGAACTAAGGTCCACTAAGTTGCGTAGAGCAGCAAAAAAAAAAAAATGTAACCTATCCAGCAGAATGACTGTTCAATGCATGTTTTTTCCTCTTATATCTTAAGGAAGAGAGAGAAAATCCTTCAAAACGGAGTAGAATTGAACGTGATATAGATAATAATTTGATCACATCAACACCAAGAGCAGGAGAAAAGCCTAACAAACAGATATCTCGAGTAAGACGGAAAAGTCAAGTAAATGGAGGTTTGTTAATGTTTACCTGTTGCTTTATTAGGTGTAAGCAGAGGTCACTTGATATGTTTTTTTCTCTGTTTTAAAAAATCTACTTTGAGCAGTTTCTGCCTTTTTATAATCTTTGTATTAAGTATGAATAGCATGAAGTAAATAGAAATTTACCTTCCTAATGTACATCTATTTTGATGAGTTAAAGTGACAGTTAAAGGCAGAGCAACTAGCATTATACTGTTTGTCAGGAAAATATATATGAAATTTCTTAAAGCAGTAATAATTTTTATTATGAATAATAATACATATGAACAATATATGTTATTTTATATAATATATTATGAATAACATAATAAACTAATTTTTTGAAATGTGTATAAAGAATTTGTTTCTGGATTATGAAATTTCAAAGCTCAGAGGCAGCTTGGAGCCCTCAGGTCAGTGTTTCTCAAGTAGGGTGTCTGTCCGCCAGTGGACATTTTTCAGTGTCTGGAGATCTTTTGGTTTGCCGCAGCCTGTGGAGGGATTGCTTCTTGCATCTAGCAGGTAAAGGTCAGGATACCGCTTAAACGTCATGCAGTGCACAGGACATCCCATAACAAAGAATCATCCAGCCCAAAGCCAGTAGTGTTACTGTTTATAAACCCTCTTCTAGGTCACTACCTTTGAGGAGCTGACAAGCTCCTCAGCATCTGAACAAGATGGACAAGCAGAGAAAGCTTGACTAGCACTTTAGGGCATGGAGTGCTTCCTTTTAATGAATGTGATGTTAAACACAACAGTAATAATAATTCCTCAATCTCTTTCCTCTTTTTTTCTATATGGTTTTTTTTTTCCCCCCTCAACTTCTTTCCTCTTAATGCAGTGATTTATCTCTAGAATTGACCATCAGGGAGAAAGGGGATAAACAAGTTAACAGATCTCTAGCAAAGAAAGAAGAAAAGAAATGTGGTAAAGTTGTGGAGGGTCAAAGATGATTTATTTAAACATTTCTAGTTTATGTTTTCCCAAAACCCATTAAATTTTTTATTTATAAGAAACTTAGGGGGAAAACTGATTATTCTTCCTAAGTACTCTGAGATGGTGCCGCAGAATCCATAAGTAACATTTGACACTGCTATATGTGTAGTCTTTTACTGTATATATAGTCTTCAGTAAAACGGTTTGCCTCTATTTTTTAGCTGTTATTTGTTAGACATAGAAATAGAGGGTAAATTTTGTGAAGTAGACAGCATACCAAAATGTAAATAAACCAAGGCAGAATCTTACATTCATGTTTTTCATATTGTAACTTGCTTGCTTTACTTACAAAGAGTTTATTTCATTTTCTTTTAAACAATGTTGAATTTAAGACTTGCAGACTATATAATTCCAGATATAAATCTGCTTTGTAAAAACTCAGTAACTTTAGCATTTATAAAACATTATAAATAAATTTATTATAAAGATCATTTGATTTGCAAGTGACTTACCTCAAGATTTCTTTAACCAATAAGGTTTTAAAATTTAATGTTAATCAATTTTCATTATTTTGAGGGAAAAAGTTTCTTAATGAATGGTTTAGAACACATTTGTGAAAGTTATGTTTTTTAGATTGCAACTGTTTTCTTTTGTTTCTTTCTTAGAAGCTGGTAGTTATGAAATGACAAATCAACATGTAAAACAAAATGGAAAATTAGAAGATAACCCTTCCTCTGGCAGTCCTCCAAGGACTACATTGTTGGGGACCATATTTTCTCCTGTCTTCAACTTTTTTTCACCAGCAAATAAAAATGGTAAATATAAATGATTAACCATAATTTGGGTTTAAAAATTGTTTTCCTGGTTTTTTAAAAGGTCTATTTTGGGGGGGGTTATATTTTTTTACCATTTTATGTTTGTTTTCAACTTCATTAAAAATATACAGTTTCTAAAACGTACTTTTTTTTTTGTAGTGACTGAAATAAATGTAGGTTATGTTTAATTTTGTGTAAGTTAATGAACTCTGCTTTAACTATCTGAAAAGCTAGATGATAAACTTAGGGCTGGAGGGAAAATATTATTTTTTGTTAAAATGACTTTTGCATCTTTAGAGTGTGTACAGGAGAGAACTGAGCAGCATTTTCTGTATTCTAGAAATCAGTAAAGTAGAATTTGTTGAATATTTTAAGTGAGTTGAGACCAGGTTATTTTTTGTAATACAGTTTATTTTTATTATCATTTGCTTGGGTTTTTTTTTTTTTCCCCATCTCTAAGAATCCTCAGTTTAGACAAACAGTAAAACTACCCTAACTCAAATGAATTTAAGATTTCCATTGTATAATGCCTTTGCAAACAAATGGCCGTCTCACCATATTTTTCAAATATTTTCTGATGTTCTGTCTTTTCTGATAATTAGTATCTAATTTCATACATGAAATTATTTGAGGGTAAGAGGTAGTGTCTTTATTTTTGCATCTACCATGTTGTTTGATGTATTATTCGGCTCATGGGAAATAGCCATTAAATACTTGTTGCCTGATTATTTAAATTCTAATTTGAATTATGTTTCTGGATGGTAAAACAATTTTTAAAAGGCACAATGGTACACTATAAAATCAAGATACTCTATGGGCAGAAAAATGTATTAGCACATTAAAGTACTGTGAAGTCTTAAGACTAGAAACAAAACAACAAAACTACATTTAGGGACTTCCCTGGCAGTCCAGTGGTACAATTCCATGCTTCCAAAGCAGAGGACATGGGTTTGATCTCTGGTTGGGAAACTAAAATTCCACATACGTCACAGTGCAGCCAAAAAAAAAACCCCACCCCCCAAAAAAGCCTACTTTTAACTTTAACCCAGTATACCCTAGACATTTCTTTTTAAAATTTATTTACGTTTGTATTGTTGCCTATCCCAGCCTGGGTCTAGTGCCTGAGAAATCTGTTAGATTGATTCAAGAGGGATTTCTATAGTGAATGACAATGGAAAGACAAGGAAGCAAGGACACTGAGGCTGCTGGCTTGAGAGTGGATTAAATGATACACCATAAAGTCTAACTAGATGAGGTGGGTGGGGAAGAAGAGGTGTGTTTGGATAAAGGAGACTGGCTTTTATCAGACATGAAGATCACATGTAATAGAAATAAATGAGAGAGATGCTAATTAGAAGATTAGGAGGTTGTGGTAGGAGATTAATTATTTGAATTTTAGGTTTCAGGGGGGAATAGTTTCTCAATGATAGTGCCCAGGCTGTGGCCATGGCAGCAACTACTAAAGAGCATAACGAGTGTAGACAGAGCTGAAGAGGGCAAGGCCTTTGAGGCTGGTTATTGGCTGAGTCATTGACATCTCCTGTAATAACAGCTGTACAGGCATTTAACAGACAGTGAACCTGTAGCTGGGTGTTAAATCGCTCTGTGGTTAAGAGGGTGCTGGCAGTAGGCGGCAGGCGACAGCAGAGAGGATGAGAGGAGGACTGTGTAGTCAGGTGACGTCAGTCTCAGAGGGGCAGACATTTTACACATGGGGAAAACCCAGTGATCTGGCAGCAGCAATGGAGGTAAATGAATTCTGACTGAGTAACAAGTTATGAGACAATAAACAGCTTTGAGGGAAGGGTAATAGGAAGAGAGAAAATTTTTGAAAGAGGTTCAAGTTAAGGCAGTGGAGGGAGAAAGAATATTCTGTGAGAAAGTTGAGAGTTATTGGAGGTTGATTTTGTTGTTGAAAATGATATTTGGAGGATTCCATAAAGAAAATGGAGAGATGATTTGGAGGATTCCAGAAAGAAATGGAGAGTTGCAGTCAGTCCATAGTGGGAGGAAGATTGGGCAGCAGGTTCATCTCAGTGATGATTGAATGTAATGAGGAAATTGACTTCTTTGTTAACGAGGTGGAATCTTGTTGAGAAATTGTTCCTGTATCTTGGAATAAAAAGGTTCTTATGGTTATGGGAACAGTTGACTCATTTTTAGAGAACTATCTCTAGTTTAAAAAATCAGAAGCTGTTTGAGGATAATGGAAAAGTGTGAATGTGTGTATTGCCCAACATGTAGTATGCACTTAATAAATAATACTTTAATGAAAAGAAGTTCTGTGGTCAGCAGTACTGTATTACACTTGACCCTTGAACAACGTGGGTTTGAACTGTATAGGTCCACTTATACAAGGATTTTTTCCAATATAAATACTACAGTGGTACACAGTCTGGTTGGTTGAATCTGAGGATTTGGAACTGTGGATCCGGAGGGCTCACTGTAAAATTATTCTCAGATTTCTGATTGCATGGGGTTCAGTGCCTCCAGCCTCTATATTGTTCAAAAGTCAATAGTATATATTGATACTTGGAAGTTGCTAAGAAACTAGATCTTGAATGTTCTCACCACAAAAAAGAAATAATTATGTGGCAGAATAGAGGTTTTAGCTAATGCTCAGTTGGTAATTGTATTTCGTTATATAAAGTATTAAATCAGTTAATTATATCTCAATAAAAAATATTTTAAAGCTCTGAATTGACTCATTTAACTATAAATGGGTATTTCTAAGCTATTTGAACACTTTAAGAAGAACTCTGTTCACCAATATGACTCTAGCTTATAACAGTCTTTATTCCTTATTGTTTGAAATGTCTCGTGAAGACTCACTGAATAATGGTGTCCTCAGCTTTGTTTCTGTTCCAGTTAGTTTTTCTAAATATTGATGAATTTTTATTTTTATTAAATATATGTGACATATAACATTGTGAAAATTCAAGTTGTGCAACATGTTGATCTGATAATTTATATATTGTACTATGATCATCAGCTGATTACACAATCACCTAGCTTAAAACTCAACATTCGAAAAACTAAGATCATGGTATCCAGTCTCCTCACTTCATGGCAAATAGATGGGGAAACAATGCAAACAGTGAAAGACTTTATTTTGGGGGGCTCCCAAATCACTGCAGATGGTGACTGCAGCCATGAAATTAAAAGACGCTTGCTCCTTGGAAGAAAAGCTGTGACTAACCTTAGACAGCATATTAAAAAGCAGAGATATTACTTTGCTGATAAAGATCCATCTAGTCAAGGCTATGGTTTTTCCATTAGTCATGTGTGGATGTGAGAGTTGGACCATAAAGCTGAGTGCCAAAGAACTGATGCTTTTGAACTGTGGTGTTGGAGAAGACTCTTTGAGAGTCCATTGGACTGCAAGGAGATCCAACCAGCCCATCCTAAAGGTGATCAGTCCTGAATCTTCATTGGAAGGACTGATGCTGAAGCTGAAGCGCCAACACTTTGGCCACCTGATGTGAACAGCCAACTCCTTAGGAAAGACCGTGATGCTAGGAAAGACTGAAGGCGGGAGGAGAAGGGGACGACAGAGGATGAGATGGCTGGATGGCATCACCGACTCGATGGGCATGAGTCTGAGCGAGCTCCGGGAGTTGGTGATGGGCAGGGAGGCCTGGCGTGCTGCTGTCCCTGGGGTCGAAGAGCCAGGGCTGAGCCGCTGGGCTGGACTGGGCTGTGCCCAGTGCGGTGGTGATGACTCACTGCTGTGCTGTGCGGTGGTTGGTCAGTCGGCTTCTCTCTCTGCAGGTTTGGTGGTTTCAGGAGTGTTGTCTGTGTTTACTACACTCTAAAGCTTCTTTATTACTTGTTTTAAATTTGTCTCTTGTCTTTCCTCTCCCATGGTGAGCTGTTAAGTAATGATTGATGTACACTGAATCATAATTTCAGGAACATCGGGATCCGATTCCCCAGGACAGGCTGTGGAAGCTGAGGAGATAGTAAAGCAGCTTGATATGGAACAGGTGGATGAGATCACTACGAGTACTACTACATCAGCGAATGGAGCAGCTTACTCAAATCAAGCAGTTCAAGTGAGGCCATCAATAAATAATGGTTTAGAAGAAGCAGAGGAAACTGTTAATCGTGATATACCACCCCTTACAGGTGAAAAACTTTTTTTTTTCTTAGACGTTTTCAATAGCTTGTAAAAATGCAGTACTTCATATTTTTTCTTAAATAGGCAAATTAAATGCATAAATTTTTCTTCCTTGAAATTAATAAAATTAAAATTGGAATTAAAGCGTTTCCTCCCAAATCTAGTCATTTTGAAATTGAATTTTTTAAAGGTTATTTTACCATTTTAGTCACTTCAGTTTAATTATTTGTACCAATCTAACTACATGGAGAAGTTTAACACAGCTAACAAAATAATATGCTTACATTTATGAGCATATTTATTATAAATGCATGAATCTTACATTCTTAAGATCTGAAGTCCCTGTGTAGAGGTATTCTTGTACCTTCAGATTTGTTTCATGTATGGATGACATTCCCAAAGGAGAAACTTGTCTTCTCGGGTTTCTGTATACACAGACTGTGCAGCCTAATCCGGATCCTTTGAAAGGCCTACCATAATTGGTAGGTCTGAGCCAGTTGGAAATATAGAAACATGTGGGGTCAGCATTTATTACCTAACTTAAGAATAATACTGAACTTAACAAGCAAATCAGCATGAACTATGCACATAATTTATTCCTGGGTGGATAAGTTTTGCAAATAAACTTACTTTTGGCCTGTCACTTAATGCTGATTGCTCTCCCCCCTGTTACAGGCTTGTGAATGATAAGATACAGACTGAAGCCAAGGCTCTTGGCTTTGTGTTTGATGTTTTCCTGTTTTTGTGGTTCTTTATAAACCTTTGTACTTATTTTTTCTGACAACCATGGCGATGGAGAAGGGATTTCCAAAACTAGTTTCTAGTGGGGAAAAGTAAGATTTACTCCATCTCTCATTCATTATTTGTTCCTCTAACACTTGTACAATTGAACACCTGCTTTTTGTGATGGACACTGTTTATAAAGATGAATTAAGATATGCTCATTGACCCTGAAGAGTATATGATTTAATAGATGAACAGGTATACAGAAAAATTACTATACAGTGTGATGAGTGCTGTTACAAATAAAGGAGCAAAATGTGGAGGTGGCACATTGCAGTTACTCTGGGAGGATCAGGAGAGGAGAACAAGTGAAAGTTCTGCTGGTCTTAAAAGATGAGTATGAGCGACAAAAGTGTTGCTTTCCCTCAACTTGAGGAAGGTTGTCAAAGAGAACAAGAAGGAAGGAGGCTGGCTTAGCTGTGTGACTTTAGATAACCTAAGCTCTCTGAGCTGATTTTCTTAGCTTTAAAATGGCAATAATGATTTAGAGCTTTGGAGACTGGGATGAAATGTGAAAAATGCTTTAACATGAGGTGTTCAGACACTGTGAACACTTTCTCTCCCCCCTTTTCTGGGTGATGAGACCTTGAACCAGTACAGTGGTAGGAGATATGTGTTTCTTTTTGTCCCCTTGTGCTTATGAACCAGTAACTGGCATAAAGTTGTTGGAGATGAACAAAATTCTGCCTTGCATCTGTTGTCATTTATTGAGCATACACACTGTATTGACTCTTGAGAAGGTTATTAATACATGAAAATAGTAAAAAAGTTAAGTTTTGTCCTGAAAGACTATTATCCACCAGTATTCCATTCCTGGGGCTTCCCTCATAGCTCAGTCAGTTAAGAATCTGCCTGTGATGCAAGAGACCCAGGTTGATTACTAGGTCGGGAAGATCCCCTGGAGAAGGAAATGACAACCCATTCCAGTAGTCTCGCCTGGAGAATCCCATGGACAGAGGAGCCTAGCAGGCTACAGTTGATGGGGTTGCAAGAGTCAGACACGACTTACTGACTAAACCACCGCCATTCCATTCCTGTAGATAGCTCACAGCAATTTCTCTTGCAACCCATTGTCTTAGTTCTTTCAGGCTATTGTAATAACAGACTACCATTAGACTAGGTGACATATAAACAACAAATACATCTCATAGATCAGGAGTTTAGGAAATCTAAGACCAAAACCCCAACAGGTTCAATGTCTGGTGAAGATCTGCTTTCTGATTCATAGACAGCTGTCTTCTTGGTGTGTCCTTGTATGCCAGAAGCTATGTGAGCTCTTTGGGGTGTCTCTCTTTAAGGCCATTGATCTCATCCATGAGGGCTCCTCTCTCATGACCTAATGACTTCCCAAAGACTCCATCTCCAGACACCATCACTTTGAGGATTAGATTTCAGTACATGAATTTTGGGGAAACACAAACATTCAGTCTCTATCCCACCTTAAACTTTCATCTCTGAGATATTACCTGTTTAGCTTGTAGGTTATCTTTGTCTTCTCATTGGATTTAAATTGTAAATATTAGAAAATTCTCAACATAATTTCTGAAGCTCTATCAGTTGATTGAATTTTAGCTCAAATTTAAAAGGGACTGTGTTTCGTGGAATATAGAATTTTTTCTTGATTATTTTTAAATTACTTGTAAGTGAGAAGTAAAATAATGAGTCATCTAAAGCACTGATTTCTATGTAGAGCATCATTTCTTAACTTTCAAGATCATAGACAACATTGAGATCCTGTGTAAAGTCTTTAGGGGTTTGTGGACCTCTTTGAAGATTGTTCATGGATCTCAAGTTGAAACTACCTTCGAGTCTTTTTTTCAGCACAGACATACACATACTAATGTTTAATTTTTGGCTGTGCCAGTTCTTAGTTGTGGCGCACGGGCTTAATAGTTGCAAGATGTTAGTTCCCCGACCAGGGATTGAACTTGCATTTCCTGCATTGAAAAGCAGATTCTTAACCCCTGCACCACCAGGAAAGTCCCAGCATATATATTGACTGCCTGTATGTACAGCATACTTTGTGAAGTATTACTGCTATAAGAGCACCATGAAGTTTTTTCTTATACATAAAAACATCATTCAGTTAGATATGGAAATTTTGTGAAGTGTATTTTCCTAATAATAAGTAGTAAATTTTCTCTTAGTTGTTAGGGATTTAAATTTTGCTAGTCGTGATAAATTTTGTTAGCTTGCCACTTTCTCTGTAATGGTATTTTTTTCCTTTGGATCCAGAGTTAGATCTGTGTGTTAATAAAGTTACTTTTAAATACTGTTTACAAATTATTTCTGTCTTGTCTTTAACCCAAAATGCACAGGGCTTCAGGACAATCTTAATAAAAGCAGTAAATATGTATACTTCATGGAAGTGTTGAATAAAAGCAACATTCTGTTTTTCACTTTATTAAATAGCACCAGTAACACCAGATAGTGGATATTCATCCGCCCACGCAGAGGCCACCTATGAAGAAGACTGGGAAGTATTTGACCCGTGAGTTTTTATTTTTTCCCTTTCCCTCTTGGGACAGAAAGAAAGTACATGTGTACAGGGGTGGCTGAATGGTATAATGCAAGAAGCATCTTACCTGTAGGTATTAATACTTCTACTGAGTTACTGAAATACTAATTTTCAGTTTTACTTACATGTTTTATAATTTTGGTTTACTAGGTTAAATATGCATTATTGAATTAAAAACTTAAAAGACGGGCCAAGTTTAGTAAGATGTTTTATATTTACAAAAAATAGAAATGTTGAAATTTTCTTAAAATTTGATTTATAGCTATTATTTCATCAAACATGTTCCACCACTGACAGAAGAACAACTAAATAGGAAACCTGCTCTTCCGTTGAAGACAAGAAGCACACCAGAATTCTCCCTAGTTTTAGACTTGGTAAGTATATTGTTTCTAGAGTTAGGAACAATAAAGGAGTTAAATTCTTTTTAAAAAATACTAGCCCAAAATACCTAAAAGAATACAAGAGAGTGAATAGCCTTACACATACATTTACTGTAATAACATGTCTTAGGTGTTCTGAAATGTTTTTATTTTAAGCACCGTCTAATGCCAGGGCCTCCCATTGCCTTGGTATCCAGTACCTTTTGAAAATAAATTAGGCTTCTTTTTTCCTCTCCCCACCCCGTTGCTACTTTGCTATTTAAATTCTATTATTTTTCCAAGACTCCTATACCTTTTATTTTGTTTTTTAATCTCCCAGTTAATTATAATTTTATGCCTAGATTTCAGTCTAGGGAATCCACAGTCATGTTCCCCTGAGGACCTGGGTCTTGATGAGTTAACCTTATGCAAGACCATACTCCTTTTCCTGGTTGTTTTTTTTTTTTTTTTTTTGCATATTATCTAATATCAATAACTTTATTAATAGACTGTCAAAAGCATGACTTCTTAATGTTGACTAATAAGACCTTTAGTATGCTTTCTTGGGTGATTTTAAATTTATATTTTAGGGTACCAGGAGAGCTTTGAAAACCGAGTATCTCTTACCTTTTCCTAACCAAATTTAATATATAGTCACCATTATTTACATCCGCCAGCAATTTCTTGATATTAGCAAAAATATAATTTATTATGTAATATTGGAAAATATTTTATTATTTAGCTTTTGTTACTTGTAATCTATAATTGGAGATGTAGTTTAGTTTTCATTAATTTTTTTCTTATCTTAGGAAAAGGTTATTCTTTTAAATCTTAACTAGCATGGATAGTTCTGAGAGTTCAGCACCTTAGCCTTTGCCTAGCCAAAGAGATAGAAGCTAGGTATCCAGAAGTCCCAAGTATTTAATGTGTTTTAGAGGATTAAGTAGGAAAAAAGAAAGAAAAATATTGAAACTGATTATGAGTAATTAAAGTTTGATATGCAAGTTAGTGGAGAAACTGAAAAAGATTTCGCTAGATTTTTATGTTGGTAGTTGATATCATGATAGCAAGCTTGGCCGTAAAATTTTTAAACCAATATGAAGGGTAAAAAGAGAAGGAAAGACAAGAATTGGTGAGCATAAATGAGTAATTTTACAGAAGTATATAAAGAAGAATGATCAAAATTTAGATAGGCTATAGATGAAGAAGTAGTAGAATTTGTTACGATTCAGTTATAGGAAAGAGAATACCTTTTTAAAAGATACTAAGAGAATATCTTAATTTGTGTACTCTGATATGCTATTAAAAGAAAATGAGGCATATCTAGAATATGTTTTGCTCTTTGCCTCCACCGAGTTTAACTTTAGGTTAAAAGAAACACTGCAGCTAATAAAATGTGGAATCATAAGGTGTGAGCATTTGTATTTCATTTTAATTCATTTTAAGCATAAAGTGTTGTCACTTTCTGCAAATGGAAGCCTTCTTGTTTTTCCTTCAGGATTTGAGAAATACAGATATTTGCACATACCTTAGATGAATGATCCTCACATTCCTTTCCTCACAATGAGAAAAGAGGGCTTGGTAATCAAAGAGGAGAAGTCTTGATTAACTGCTGATTCAGTTTACAGATAAGGAGCTATATATGAGCAAAAGACATATATTTTAAAATAATTAGATGCTAAACTTCTATTGCCGAATTGTAAAAAAAGAAAATATATATGTGGTTTAACAGAAAGTGGGCAACTGCAGGACTCAGAACAGTGATTCTCAGACTCACCTGATCATCTTAACCCCTCAAAGACTTACTGTAGCATAGACCGCTGAGCTCCACTCTCTGCTCCTTGCTGAATTTGAGTTATCCGAAGAGCTAGAGATTTTTCATTTCTCACTGGTGTTTCCCAAATAATGCCCATGCTACATGCTGTCCTAGTGGCCCCCACCTGAGACTCAATGACTTAGAAAATTCTGTCCCTGATTACTGTGCCATGCACGCACAGTAGTGAACTATAAATATAAAATTCATGTATTAAAGGGTGCTTTAATAAATGTTTTTGATGATCATGAGTACATATAATTATCATTTGAAATATCTCAGTATCTTAGTTCACTCACCATGTGCTTTTTATTCTAAGGACGAAACACTAGTACACTGTAGCTTAAACGAGCTGGAAGACGCGGCACTTACGTTTCCAGTCCTTTTCCAGGACGTCATTTACCAGGTAACTACGGCTTTCTGACCGGGGTTTCGGCCTGTTAGATATGCTGAACCGAGAAATCCTTTGTAAATATATATATATATATATATTTTTTTTTTTGGCTAAAGTTTAAGGTGTTTATTCCCAGTGGATTTCACCTCTATTTTAGTGATTTAGAAGCACAAGGTAGCATCATGCTAAAGCACTACGTTTAAACATTGTTACCAGAAAAACTGAACTTTTTCCACCCACTGATCTCTACTGATTTCCTAACCTGTTTGCCAGCAGGTGGAGGCAGGAACACTGACACCGTAGGTCCCCAGGAACTTTACCAGGTTAACATCTGGCGTTGTTGGTTTTGCAAAACACAGCTCATATGAAGAAAGCTTCGTTTTTGGTCATTTTTATTGCCTTTTGTAGTAATATGGTCTGTAGGTTGCAGTGTAGTAAATATAGTTTATTTTAATTTGGAAGTCCAGGACACTCTTCTAGTTACTTTAACACTCTTCTAGTTACTCTGGTTTTACTTTAAAAAATTAGAGTTTATCTCCCTCATTGTGTTGATGGACAGGGAATAGTGCAAAATACAAATATCAGTTACAAATATCACTGCAAATTATCTGTTGATCATAGTTCTTTGTTTGAGATTTTCCTATCATAAAATTTGAATTAATATGTGTGAATACATTTTGAAAATGACAAAGTGCCTTTCTGTCATGGACGTTGTTACTAGCATTGCCTTGTATCCCAGTTTTTGAAAGATTGGCAAAGCGTCCAAAACTTTGTTGTCAGATGGAAGCCAACCCAAGGGGTAACTGAGTGAAGTCGCAGCACATTCACCATGGAGTGATGGACAGGTGTTCACGGTTGTTTCTGTGCTCTTCATAGGCAGAATATTGGTGTGGGATTCTTGGCATGTGATAGTTCTTAGATGTTAGGAATCATAAGATTTTAGAGTAAGTTTGTGGTTCAGGATCTACTTTACCTACCTGATCTTGTAATTAGTCATAAGAGGATTTATTTAAGCAGTTATTGTCAGTTCTAGTTTAACCTAGAAAGGAATTGTAGGTATGGTAATACCTGGCTACTGTATTTATTTCCCTTTTATGTAAACTGATTTTAGTTCTGATATATGATCAGAGGATGAACAAAATATACATAAAAATAAGGAATTTTAAGACTTTTAATAACTGGTCGTTATTTAAGGTAAATCTTTTTCTTAAGACATTTTCTGCCAAATAGGTTGTTCTTGCTCAGTGTACTTCAGAGACAGGAATCTTGTGGCAAATATAAATAGTATAGCAATATCTTCTCTCTTTTTAGCTGGATAACCTTGTTTTTATGTTCAAAATTGCCCTTAAAAACAATGGCTTTCAAGCTTTGAGTTTGGAAAAGAAAGCTATTACTGAAAAATACAAATAATTACTTTGATGTGATTTCTTAAGCTTTCCAGATTTGAAATTTATTTCTTAAAGTTGGTTTGTCTGTTTTCATAACTTTTAGTAGTGAAATAAGAAACTTGGAGAGTGGATAAGTTTGACTTTCCTTTCATGAGGATTTCTTTTCAGTGTGACCATAAAGTTGAATTTTTTTCTTACTGCTTTCACCATTTCTTCTTTAGTTCTCTTCTATGTAAAATCCTTATTATTTCATGTGGATCCGGATAGTTGTCTTATTTTGAATAAAAGGCTCTTAGCAGTACATAGAATACTTTAAAAATAATCTTCATATGTACTGCGTCTACCTCTGTGGAATTCAAAGAACTCTTTTTTATATATCTGAGTTCCACTTTCTAAAACAGGAAAAATTAAACGATCTAGCTTATGTCAGGAAAAATGAGCAGAAAGTTTGAATCTAAGTTACAGAGATGACTGCATTTTAATATGATTTAGTTACTACATCATGTACAGAATTTAGTTCCCTTTCAGTAAGTTGTTGAGGATGTCCATAGTTAATATTAGATTTCTGGTGTTGGCATAGCCATTCTGTCTACTTTTTAAAAATAACTTTGCAGAAATCTTGGGTTAGGGTTCCCCCAGTTTTCAGACCAGCAAGCTCCCTTTAAACAGGGAATGATGTCTTTTAAACTTTCAGTGGTGTTGTCTCCATCTACTGGCAAAGAAGAAATATACACAAGGGTCTGGGATGATCTAAGAGATTTTGGAGAAACCACATTATTAGGTAAGATGTAACTTACATGTTTAACAACTACAGTGTAATGTGGCCCACTTAAAGGTAAACATCTGTAAAAGACTGTATATACTCTTAAAAAATAATTGGTTGAGATTTAAATTCACAACATAAAATTAACCATTTTTAAAGGAACAGTTTCATGGCATTTATCAGTATACTCTTGGATATGTCAGTTCCATAACATTTACATATATATGCTTTAAAATAAAATGTTAATGTTAAGATCAAAATTCTTCATTTGAATCAAAGCCAGATAAAGTGTCCTCTTGGGACTTCCATTACTTTTGCTTTCTTTTTATGGTAAGTTTGTTGAGGTAGAACTATACCTAATTTTAATTCTGTTTGCTGTTCTCTTTCAAAACAATTTAAAATGCAATTTGCTTTCTGTATGTTTTAATAGTTGTCTGTATCAGGAGTTGGCAAACTTTTTGCTATAAAGGGCCAGTTAATATTTTAGGTTTTGCAGTCTGTGTTACAACTACTTTTTCTGCCATTGTAGCATGAAAGTAGTCATAGACAGCACATAATGAATAAGCCTGACTGCATCCCATTAAAACTTTACTTAATAAAAATAAGTGATGATCTGGATTTGGCTCAGAGGCCATCGTTTGCTGACCCTTGGTCTAATAATTATGAGAGTATATGCAGTAAATTTACATGTTCAAATTCTAAATGGAAGTAAGTAATCAAATGTTCATCAAAATTCTTGTTAACATATAGAGAGATTTAGAATTAGATCCAGTATACCCTGATTATGGACTTTCTAAGGTTTTTGCAGATGAAAGTTTGAGGGAAATTTTAAGGTGGTCACTACTCAACGTTTAAGGATTGCCTTACTTCATGATATACATTCTTCTTTTGATTGATAAGTAGGGATCAGCTTAGTTAATGCAAGACTTAGAATACTGAAGAGGTAGATTATTCAAGCCTCAATTTAGTACCTTGAGTATATTTGAATTTCCATTCTCTAGGGGATAAACCTAAAAGATCCAACTCAAATGAAAATTTTGATGTATGTTACCACTGACACTATATAGATTAGACAGATTATAGCTTGTGAAAAAGTCATTTGAAAGAGTAACTGAGTGTTTAAAGTGAGGGTGTGGCATTCGCTAAGGCAAAGTAGATAGATTTTTTGTTTGAATGTTTTTTTCTTTTCCCTTAATTCATAGTTTTTCCATGAATTGTTTTACAGTTAGATACTGGAAAACAAATTTATTTATTTATTATTGTAGAATGATACAAATGCATTTGATATCTGGAAAAACAAGTGCATGATCAGTTCCAATGCACATGTTTTCATTTTTATATTTAGCTTATATTGACACATTGTCAGGAAATCCATCTCGTGGTGTTACTCAGTTAAGAGGTCTCCACTGTATTTAGTTTCTGTTCCTGCAGATCCACCAATTCAAGACTCTAGGTCATCTCACTCCCTCTTCCATCCAGAAGATGACTTCTATCCACAAGCAGGACTGAATCAAAAGACAGATTTTTCACTTAGCTCTTGAGCTGAACCACCTCCTCAATGACCTTCCTCTGTCTCCATCAAGAACTGGAGCTCAGTTTTTTGAAGATGTAATAGAGCTACCCAGCCCAAACGTGGCTAATTGAAGACAAAAAGAAGATGCCTCATATGTTTCACCACAGTGCCACCAAACGTAACTGTGTTGTACAACTCCTCATTCTGTAAAGTATGGCAGGGGCATCTGATTTTTGACTCTGTTCACCAATAAGACTTTAGCCAGTCAGTGGCTTTCTGAAGATCAGTAAAATCAACAAACTTTGGGTCAGCTGTCCAGAAATCAGATTGTGGTAAGCACTCAAGGAGAGAGAGGATCCTATAGGGAGCTACTTGCTAAAGTATGCCTTGTTTTTAATAGTAGAGGTTGCTTTTATGGGAAGAGCTGGGGGGAAAGGTGGGTGGGAAACCCCATGTTTAGCAAAGCTCAGCCTTTTCCTCGTTATTATAGTTTGTTTTCTGGGAGGCTTACAGCCTAGGATAATTTTTGTAAGGATTTCAAATATTTTATACTACAGAAAAATAGAAGTAGGAGGTCAGTGGCATCTATCTCTTTTCTGCAGTCTTTCCTAGAAAAGTCAGCATTTTGGCTTGATGAAGAAAAAGAGCAATTGTTTAAATGAAGAGTTCTGTTAGTAAACACTTAATCAAGCTTTTCCTCCCCTCATGCTCTGACTTAAATTGATACTAAACAGGAGGCATTTTGTTTTGACATTCATAAAGCATAATTTTATTATATAAAAGTAGTATGTATATTTGTTCCTTAAAATATCTGGGGCCATGGACACAGTACTGAGGATGAAAGTAATATTTTATATCTGATAAGGAATAATATTTTTGATAATTAGTTGTAAGTCAGCATTTAAAATAATTTTTCCATCCTTATTAGTAAGTATAGTCAGTCATTGGTACTAATTTTTTCATCATGGCTTTTGTATTCCTTATAAATGTATCTTAAAATTAGCAGTAGTTCATTTAAAAATACACAAAATTCTTGTTCAGTAGCTGAAAATATTGCAACTTTAGGAGAGGTGACAGTTGACTATTAAACATATTAAATTGGAGACTTAAAGAATTTAGGTTTTGAATTTGGTTTTGAAGGCTTTATGGGCTTTTGGTTGGGTTTTTTTTTTTGCTTTTAAAGTCAGTAAACTTGATTTTAAGAAACACATTAAACCTTATATATATACATACACAAATATGTGTACATACATACTTAAATTGAAAGATTGTATATGTGTGTGTGTGTGTATGTAAATGGCCATGACTTGAAAAAAGTATGCTTCATTGCTAATTTTTAACATACCTTCTATATGAATACATGAAACATCTTATCCCATTTGGACTCCATAAGAAAGTATCTTTTCAAATTTATTTCTATTTAATATAGTGTAAGGTTTTACAGAAGGTTTTAGTTTGAGAGTTTCATTTTTATTGGTTATGATGTTTCAGTATTTACCTATTCATTCTCAGATTGATCCACCTACAGATACTATCCCCAGCAGCAATCTACCTTTTATTGAAACTGTGTGAAGCAAAAGATGACTTGTAAAATCACCCATGGATTATGAAGTTGAGGCCTCCACAGGGCGTATCTGAGCAATCCTCTTTCTATGGAAAAGATTTGGGTTTTGTCTCTATGATCTGATACTGATGCAAAGATAGTGTTAACTAAGTTAAATAATTAAGTAATCCGTTGACTTACTTTACCTCTTCTACAAGTAAAGATAGAGCTTTCTCTTTGAGTTGTGGTTGCCCAGTCCTACCCCCATAAAATCCTACTCTTTCCAGCTATTCTCCTTATGGCTGATTACTTTTAAATAATCATGTGAATAGTAATAATTGCTATGGAGGGTCTTGATGTGCTGGTAGTGTTCTGGGTGCTTTATATGTGTTAACTTATTTACTACAGTAACCTTATGTAGGTACTGTTGTTATACCCATTGTATAGATGAAGAAGCTGAGGTGTACAGAAGGGTTAAAAAAAGTGGCAGAGCCTCTTATATACCTGTGGTATATACTGGTGTATGTGTACTGATACTCTTTACATTCTTCAGTGTTCTTGTTTTTCTGTTGTTTTAAATTCTTACTGCTGATTAAATATGTAGCATCCACCTATCATCTTTTTATTTAAAGGTGCCATACCCTTTAAGTGGGTGAATACCACCGAATTTGATCTTTTCTTTTCCTTCCTACAACAGTGTAGCAATAAGTTCAAAGGATTTCATGGAAAAAATATTAAAAGATACTTAAAAAAAAATATGTTAGGGTCATATTACCTGTGCTTAAAACTAGAAGTATTTTTCCTAAAAAGAACTACATGTAAGAATTTTTTTTCCAGTTTTGCCCGCAAATTGAGATTGTTGGGTGTCCCCCCGCTTTTTTTGGTCATGCTCATAAAGTCACCTGGATAACTAAGATAATGGTTTAGTTACAGAAATCAGTATATATAACCGACATTGCATACTTAGACATGAATTTGAATTTAGATAGACTTTCACAAAATATAGTCAATTTGTGACTAGATAGCTATTTTAATGACTTTTTATTAAATCTAGTCCTGTTAACCATTTATAACCTATTAGCATCATCTTATATGCACAGTTACAGAACATTCTCTTGTCTTAGTACTAAAGAAAGTACAGGCTGACTGTCAGATATCATCTAAGTTTTGGTAAAATCAGTTCACAATATATTACACAAGATTAGTTATCACTATTTTTACAGATATTATTCTAGTAGATTTTGTTTTAAAAATTTACAGCATGAACATATAATGAAACAGGTGAGGGGAATTAAGAGGTACAAACTTCCAGTTCCAAAATAAATTGAGTCATGAGTATGAAATGTACAAAAGTTTTACATAATAAATATTTCATAGCATGAACATCTTTGGGTAGTAGGCAGTCTTATTTAAGATATGTGTTTGTGTATGGTATCTTATATAGTAATTGTTCATTATTATAGCATTATGCATTAAGACTTTGACTTTTTCAAAATATATTTGGTTTAGTGATTAAAATTATTTGTTCTGTACCTAGAATAATTGCTGTATAGTTAAAGGAGCATATATACACCAGCCTGAAATGAAACTTACGGCCTAGTCTTACATTTGGGTGACTGAATGATTTTAAAGAGTTGCGAGTGTAAAGGAGGGTGATTTCTGAAATACTCAGTAGTGGAAGAATGTAGAAAATAGGAAGTAAGCAACTTGAGACGGGAATCTTTGCTATGAGACAGTTAGGAGAAGAAAGGGGCATCTGTGGAATCGATTTTGACGCGTTTAGAGGCATGTCTCTGTGTGTGCCGTGTGGTTGTGTCTCTCTGACCTAACACAGCATGTGGTTGCAGTCTCACTGTGTCGTGCGTCCCTTAGCAGTCGTTCTTACTTCCTGCTGGGCGGTGCTTAGTGCTTCTAGACTTCTGAATATTTCTGCTGCGGTACATCCATCCCAGTGACGTAGACCCTGCTGTCCTCATGACTGTTTCTGTTTCTCTTACTGAGACTTTGCCTTCTCGGCACATGACAGAACCTCATGTGATCCCAGTCCCATCCCTGCTTGCTGTTGCTGTGTACCTTTCAACACTTTTTTCCCCTAACCATCTCAGTTTCTGCTTATGTCTTTTAATCCTGAAACACCTTCGTGTGTTTCAGTTGTGAATCTGTTCTGAGAGTAGCAGCATTTACAGTGACCAGTTTCTATTCTCATGGTAATAAAACACTCTAGCATTGTATTCCCCTATCTCAGTGCTGCCTTTCATCCCCAGTAAACAGGTACATTGTCAAAGTGATGTCAAATTTTAAGATGTGTTTTACATTTTTAAGTATAGTGAAGTCACAGTTTTGACCTAATCCAGAAGTGTGAGAAGTTGGAAAGTGTCCCCTTTGTACAGTGTTCCACTTACTATGCTTAGATAATGCTGTTTAAATAGAAGTATTCCTCTACAGTGGAGGTACTTTAGTTTTCAGAGGAGACAGACCCCAAATTGTAGAGGCCCTGCTTATTTTAATTTACAGTATGAACAAGTGATAGGGATATTGAAAGCAAATGGAAGCATTTATACACATGCAGAAATGAAGTATTTTTGGTTGTTAAATGCATTTAACTGCTTCTTAGCAGCAAACAGAGGGCTTTGATGGTTCATGGTTTATCATCTTCCATGAGATAAGGTTGACTGAAAAAAAGTGTTGACTGAACTGATAGTTTTTCCTTAACCATTACAAATATATTTTGAAGTGTTCCATAATGAATAAAAATTGATTTTGTCAGTTAAAGTAGTAATATATCTAAATCTGTCAGTTACTTGGATTATCAAATAAGGTATGTTGAAAACTACCAAACTATACCAAATATTTTAGGACGCAAATGTTAAAATTAATTACAAGTGCAAATCTGGTTAAAAATTTTGTATCTCATCCTAGAGGATAGGGATTGGATACTAAGGATTTTGTTATTTGCTCGTGATGGGAGTGTGTGACTTATTTCATTTTTGATTAGTCAAAGCTCCTGAGATCAACTGCCTTATAATAGGCTTAAAAATGAGTAAATCTTGATTATGCTGGGCTTCCCTGGTAACTCAGACTATAAAGAATCTGCCTGCAGTGCAGTAGACATGAGTTCAATCCCTGGATCGGGAAGATCCCCTGGAGAAGGGAACGGCAACCCACTCCAGTATTCTTGCCTGGAGAATTCCACGGACAGAGGAGGCTGGTGGGCTACAGTCCATGGGGTCACAAGGGTCAGACACTACTGAGTGACTAACACATACTTTGACTTATTATTCTAGCCTGTAGGTGGGAGTAGGGTGATTTTATTAACATATTAATAATTGTTTGAAATTTGTCTTCCACAGTGATCAGTTCTTAAGGAAATTCAGTGGTCCTTCCAGTGTGTAGTTGTCCTATAGTATGTAGTCTTGCCTTTCCTTCTCAATTTTGTTTATATTGTTTAACTTAAGGCAGTTTTATTTGCCTAAATCTGTTTATTATTAAATTCAATTTATTTAACAGATTTTTATCATATACTTACTATATATTTGGCTTTCTCTTACACTGTTTGGGCTTTAGAAATTACAAAGACTGTTAGTACATAGACCCTTCTAAAATCCTGTGCCTAATTTCCCTGTTCTGCTCTGAAACATTCCCAAAACTAGATTTTTATCATAAGGTCATTTTTGTTTAGATGTGTACTGATGACATAAATACGATGAAGCCTAAATTTTGAATTTGTTGCCACCACAACTTTAAAAAAAAATCTGAATCAAGTGAATCTGGTGCATAGATGTTCTATAAGTATTTGTTTTTCATGCTTTTTGACTTTAATAATCACCTTTGAGTGAAGTACAAACTTTTTAAAAAATTTTTGTAACAAAATAAATATAATTTAAAGGAGTTAAAGTCTTTTGTAAATCAGTTTTTAGTGGTTGTTCATGACTTATATTTCTGTGCTTCTTGAGTATATTACAAGAGCTATGTTAAATATAGGCAGAAAGACAGACAGAAATAAGAGAATAATATATTTAGAGTCAGTTCTTTGGTTACTGTAGTCTTTCCTGATATTGTCAGTTGGTTTTGATAACTGGTGTGTTTATTATATTTTCAATCTCAAGTAGCCCAGTAGTGCTAATTTAGATACCACATCTGAATCAGTAAATGTAGAACAAGCTTGATTTCTGAAAAATTCTTGTTAGTTAAACCCACCAATCCAGACATCTCCTTCTTAAACATTATTTACCTTAATAGAAATTGAAAATAAAGGTATTCTTAAGCAAGTGAGGAGAAATTCTGAGTGATCATTGAGGAAGGTCATTGAGACAGGTCAGCTAGAAGTGGACACACAGCCTGCCTAATAATTGGATGGATGCTGCCTGGCTGGAAGATGGAGCTGATCTGTGGATCAGAATCTCAGAGGGAGACCTGCCATTCCTAGTTTAACTGTTTATTGAAATTACATTCCATGAAGGTCTATTATATGCTGCTGTTTAACTATTAAAAAGTGAAATGATCACCAGCAATTATTATTACCCTACCAAAAGATTGTTTTAAGTGATTTTTGGTGTGTGAAATATATTTGGTCAAGTGATACTTAGTAAACTTTTTTATTCATATGAACTTTTAAATTATATTCAAAGTTAGAACATTTCTTATAAATAAGTTGTTTCTGTTTCATATTTTTATTTGCTGAAGCCTATCTTTGTGTTTTTTTCAGGTTTACGTGAGATTAAGACCATTCTTCAGGGAGTTCCTGGAACGAATGTCTCAGATGTATGAGGTAAACATACTTAAGTTAATTATTACAGTATTTTTATTTTATTCAATATAGTACCCATATTTAGATCATGTATAATGATTACTTCTTTTCCCCTGAATTTATAGATCATTCTTTTTACTGCTTCTAAGAAGGTGTATGCAGACAAGTTACTGAACATACTAGACCCTAAAAAGCAACTGGTCAGGTAAATTTAATTAAGAAATAGTGGAAATGTCTGTCACACTGAACTATGAAATTACTATGATTCTATTTAATTTTGATGGCCATTTTTAGTTGGCTGCATTTATAGCGATTTGTTGTGTTAAATGGTGAAAATAAGTGATTTTTTTTTTTAAGCCCCCAAACTCTTTAAGAGTTCCTAATTAAACTCCAGACAGACGTTCTTTAATGGATACAAAGATCAAATGTGTTTATTTCACTTGTACATCTGTATTCTCACTTCGGGATTGGGGGGAAATTGGGGGTACGTGGAATTTTTTCACTGTGCATGATGTTTTCACTTAATGCCTCTGAGATAATGCATGTTATGTCATCTTTTTAATGACATAGAAATGAAAGTTAATTTTAACAAAAAAGATCAAATTAAACTCTTGGTTATTTTAAAGAGCAAATTTATCTTCCATGGAAAGAAAATGTTACACGAGTCTAATTGGAAATTGCCGTTGGTTTAGTCACTCAGGTTATTCTGATCTGGATTCAGTTCCTTGCGTGTGTGTCCTAAGCCAGCAGATGCAGTGTATTTACTGGTTAGGTGGGAGTGTTTTCAGTAATTTAAGACAATTTGAAGATTAGTTTCATTACTTCTGTCAACTGAGGTGAGATACCAAGACTCAGCAGTCTTGCTGTATCCTCTGAAGTATAGGAGTTAATCTTTGGGTTTTGATCAAGAGCTGAGATACAGGAAAAGGCTCCTGAAAGGTTTGGTAGCTGAGTGGTCATTTTCTTGAATATTTCCTCCCATATTGTCTTAGTGGGAAATCCTAAACTTAATTTCTACTGTTAATAGTACCTTTATTACTGAGTGGTTTCAACTATAGTGAAAGGCCTTTCCTAATGTCCACATTTAGGAGATTTTTCCGTCTTTTTTTTTTTTTTTTTAATTTTAAGGATCAAAATTTGTCGTTTAGTCAGTTTCCATTTCATCTTCCATATAAGCAAGCTTCAGACACACAAATGAAAATGGTATTTTATTTTCATAAAAGTATATTATAATTTATGCTCATTTTACCTGATAATAAAAGCATACGAGTGATTTTGCTCTGATGACTTCACTCATTCTGAAGATTTCTATTTAGTACCTCCAGTGTTCCAGGGAACAGTGGTGAGCAACATAAGCCCTTCCCTTCTGGAGCTTTCATTTTACTAGGGGACAAATCATAGTCATCCAGTTGTAATGTTATAAGTTAAAAGCCTTCTTTTAAACTAGTTTTATAAAACCTTTGCCTTTCGGAGTTTAAATTTGTTTCATCAAGTTGTATTTTGAAAAACTTAAAACAGGAAAAACTCTTGAACTGTGTATTGAATGCACTAAGAGTGCTATAGGGCATCATCTGTGTTGGTGACAAGGTCGATTCAGAAAATCCCATGAGTCTGAATTGCTAATTCGATGACTAGCAAAAGTAGTTTATTTTTCAAATTGCAAATACATGCTACTAACCGTCAGATTCCTGATAACTGGAAGGAGTTTATAATTAAATTAAAATAACCATTAATCTCCATATACACACTTAGCTGGCTGTCTCCTGTGTCTGGTGAGTTGCTGCCGTTGGAGAAGTTGTCAGTGTGACTCGCAGGCACCCACCGTGCCTGCCTCCAGTGTCCTCATGTCTGGATGTTTGTACAGATAAAATGTAGACTCTTATTAGGTCCAGCCAGTACTTAAATTCTTTTGTCTAGCCTTGTATTTTCAAAGTAAGACTGTCTTTAAACCTTTCAGACGTAGATGATCATTAGAAAAAACTGTTTGTACTATTACGTTTTGTCTGGTTTTAAGATTCTTCCTCTTTTCCATTACCATTGGCACTGATTACAATACCAGTTACTGGTTGTTCTTAGACCTATGACAGATTTTGTTGGTAGAAAATGCCCTTTCTTAAAATTGGAGAATTAAAAATATTATGAATGTGTAAATCCTAGCTCCTGAAAAATTGTATAGTAGGATTAAGACACAAGGAAGCCAAACTACCAAATTATTAATGTATGTAAGTAGTGTTTCAAGATGATCTGTACCAGTTATTAGTAATATTCAGAAACTAATACACTTTGAGTGCTAAATAGAGATTATATAAATATTACAAAACTTAATAGCTTTCTTTTTAAAATGATATAGCATTTTTCAGTTTTCACAGTTGAAAGATCAATTTGGCAACACTTGAATCTGAATTCATCCTTTTATTCAGTCCTTGTTTTTTCAAATGATCACACACACAGTTAAAGCGCGGGTGTTTGGGAAAAGTTGAAATGATGGAATGTTTTGGCCTCTGCACCTTTCCTCAAAATCTATAAGAGAAACTAAAAACTTTTTTTTAATGCCAACACGGAAACATTCCTTCTTACATTTTCTATTCTGGCATGTGCAGGGATAGGGAGGCTGTGTGGTCTTCTGGTTAGAGCAAAGGCCTGGGAGCCAGGAGGACCCTGGGTCCCACTGCGGGGCTAACCGCTGACTTACTGTGTGACCTTGGGCAAGTCACTTGACCTCCTTGTGCCTCAGTCAACCATCTGGAAAATTGGTTAAAAAGCAGGACCTCGATGACAACCAGATGCTGCATCTGAACTGAGCTCTCCTGGGTAAATAAATTACAAAAACAATTTACAGAGTTTTTCATCCCTCTTTATCATTTAATATAACATTTTGGGATAAACCAAAGTTCTTTAAGGCATGGTAATATTTGGTTGTAAGGTTTCAATAATTGCTGAGAATTTTTATAATAAGACCATAGCCCGAAGCCTAGGCCCACACTTGTAATTGAATTTCCTTTGTGAGAGAAGATGATAAGGCTTAAATTGTAAAGCCTGTGGTACGTGTATTGTGTATATGTTTCAGTATATGTTGTGCTTTTTACAAATGTATTATTTTTTAGTTAATTTGTTTTTACTTTTATGTTTAGGCATCGGCTTTTTCGTGAACATTGTGTTTGTGTACAAGGAAACTATATAAAGGACTTAAATATCCTTGGAAGAGATCTTTCAAAAACTATAATAATTGACAACTCACCGCAAGCCTTTGCATATCAGGTAGGAAGAAGGCTGTTAAACAAACTCAGACGAACGCTGCCAAACAGTGTGATGGGACAACAGGATTTTCACTGGTGGAATTTCCTTGTTTAGTGTCATCTTTTAGAATTAGAAGTGCCAAATTAGTATATTCCTTGTGGAAATTTTTCTTTTAAATGAAGTACAACATACATGTAAATTTGAAATAGTAAAACCTAAGAAGGGACTGTAGGATACATACCATTTGATAGCATTCTTCTTCTTGTTTATCAGTTGCTAAATCGTGTCTCTTTTGCAACCCCATGGACTGTAGCCCACCAGGCTCCTCTGTCCATGGGATTTTCCAGGCAGGAATACTGGAGTGGGTTGCCATTTCTTCCTCCAGGGGATGTTCCCAACCCAGGGATTGAACCCATGTCTCTTGCATTGCAGGTGGATTCTTTACCACTGGGCCACTCGGGAAGCCCCAGTAGCATTCTTATCAGTTGTTAAATCAGTAATTTTAATTGTAAACAAGTTTGAGAATTATACTGTGTTCTTCTGGTCTGTTTAATTCGACATTTTGAAATATTAGAGTATTTTGTCAACATATTTGTACCCTTTGTCAGTGTCTCTTAGACATATAAATTCAACTCTGGTTGAGTTCGGTGGCAGTCCAGTGTTGAGGACTCGGCACTTTCACTTCACTGCTGAGGGCCTGGGTTCCACGACCCTGGTCAGAGAACTAGGCTCTCACAGGCCATGCAGCATGGCGTAAATAAACAGACAGATGCATACGTAGACAGACAGAGATGGGCCATCTTTGCAAGATAGATTTTTACATTGAGCATGTTCACGAGATACGACTGAGATTTTCGTCAGAATAAATCAGTGCAGAATTGGGATGTTGGAAAGGGGTTTGGGTGTAGATGATACAAGACTGCCCTCAACTTCTGTGTTTCAAAATGTCCATAATAAAACGTAAAAAAGAATAAAGACAAGGGGGAAAGATGGCATATGGTATTGAAGTATGTTCAGTTTAGGTCACTACTTTCATTTCCTTGCATTTTGAAATGTTTTTAAGAATTGGTTTGTAAATAAAATAATTTCAGTTACCCTCCATCTTAAACACAGTGTTCTGTGTAAATATTAAAAGATATAGTATCCTAGAGAATATTTACTATAAAACAAATATGGTTTGCAGTTTTGCTTTTAGATTTCAACGAAATACCATTAAGTCAATTTGTTGTGTTCCTACTATGTTTCAGGTTATCTTGTTTGGGAGTAAAACAATGAATGGAACACAATCCTTGTTTGTATGCTTTCTCTCTGTTTAAAAATGGCAGTATTCCTTTATTCAGAATGCCTAGCGTTGACTAATATTTCTCTAATGAGTAATGTTTTTAGTTATGTTAATGCAAAACTTATTTTAATGAATATTTCTTGTTAAGTTTTATGTACACTAAGAATTACTCTGAAAAACCAGTTAGGTTTCAGTTTATTCCTTAACATCTGTGTCTGGCACTATTAAGATGTCAAAGAATGTGACAGGCATAAACTGATGGCATTCCTTTTTTAAAGGAACTTAATGGATTAATATTTACTAAAATCTGTTATTTCTTTTTAAAGCTTTTCCAACTTAGGCAAACTGTAAATGAAAAATAAAGTTAATTCCTTATTTATCATTTTAGCTATCTAATGGAATCCCTATAGAAAGCTGGTTTATGGATAAAAACGACAATGAACTGCTAAAATTGATTCCATTTCTGGAGAAGCTAGTAGAACTGGTAAGTATATCTTTTCATTTATCTTTCTGTTAGGTTTTTGTTGCTTTAACTCTGTTGAAATAAATATTTTCAGTTGCTTTATGTGTACTGATGTTTCAAGTAAACATGGTGAGAGATTAGGGCAGAGGTTGATAAAGATTACACCTTATAAATTATATTATGTTTATCAGTATTTAAAATTCTATACATTGTTTTATTTCACCAAACTTCCTATGGCAAGTCACTAACTAGTTGTGTTAAGTCGGTTTTGCAGTTCAGGTCTAGAATTAATGCTTATGGTACTGAAATTTCATTCTGGGAATTTTTTCTGCTATATCTGTGGATTAAATTTAAAACTACCGTGTAAAGTAGACTTCAGTGGCTTAATGCTTTACCTGTCTTTTGGTTTGATCTCTTACTGCATAATTGTTTGTACAAAATTGATACATTAATGACAGGCTTTTCTTTTTAGTCTAAATTTAAGTTTACTTCTGTGTAGTGTCTTTGTATTTGGCAAAAATAATAATAATAATGTAAATTATAAAATAAATATCCATAGTTTCCCTGCAAAGTAAGGATGTTCATAATGCTGTAAGGATCGTGTCTTTTGAGTTACGTGGCTTTTAAAATGTCTTTCACCAACAGAATGAAGACGTTCGACCGCACATCAGAGACCGGTTTCGCTTGCATGACTTGCTGCCCCCTGATTAAGTACAAAGACTTGTCAGATCACTGAAGGGGGAGAGGATGCAGGACCCTTTTGGACTAAGACAAAAACATTGCCATTACTGTTGAAATTTTGCATTTTTGTACCCCGTCTTGCTTTTCTTATCTTGGTGCCCAATAATAATCAAGGGTTACAGAAAGAGACTTTATCTCAGATTGAATACACACAGTAGGTAGGCGAAAACAGAAGAGTCTTTAGAACTAGTGCAACTCCAGTGAAATTTTTTTATGTACAGGACATCTGCAGTTTATAAAGAATTCTGTTTCTGCCACCAGCAGTTTGACCTGTAGTCACACAGGATTTTATGATAATAACAGAGATGAAAATGGACTTTTATTTTCTCTCTGTTTGGTGCTCTAAGTGGGTTTGTAGCCACTTTTCTGTTACTTTAAAATTCTCATTTCAACAGGAATGGCCAGTAAAAGTTGTTTTATTTTTCCTGTTAAGGTTTATAACCTTTTTACATTTTTGACCTGTATTATTAATAGATTAGAATTTCATTATGCATTCCTTTTAGTTGAGGCGCTTCATAGTTTTCTGGAAATAGTAAATTTTTAGTTTTTTATTATACATTTGAATGGCCGTTTTCCTGCTTTGTCTGCCTGCATATTGTATATTTGTTTAAAAATATCCTCTACTTTTAGTCCATGTAAGTTTCATTTAGAGAGAACATGCATTTATATTTTGTTTCTGTAATATTCTACTGTAGGTGAAATCTTTTCAAAAATCAAGAGACTGGGTAGATAAGAATATATGAATGACTTAATATTCAAAAGATGTAGACCATTGTGATGGCATGCGTTCCAAGTGGTACTATCTCGCAGTGGCACACAGACTTGATGGATAAAGGTATACCTCAGACCTCACTGTGCTCACCAGTCTTTGAGGAGGATGGATTGGGTCACCTGTTGGGCTTGACTTGGTTACTGATGCCTTTGGTTTTCTCCAGGAATGAAGTATTCAGCACAGTGATTCAGTATTTTTAGTTACTTTGCATGGGCTGGTAGTACCTCTGTTATGCTCCCGGTTACAATCAATTTAGACTCTGTGTAACAGTCTTGGTACCTTGCAGTAGCTATGCATAACCCTGTGGCACAGTAGACTCCCAAGCCACCAGTGCAGTCAGTATGCTCTCATAGTGGTTTTCTATGCTATATGAAAATAGTCTTCAAGCCTTGGTTCTCTGATGCAGCTACCACAAGAGGTTGATATTTTTATAGTGGCGTGTAATCTCTTTTTCGGGAGGCTTTTTATGGAGGTAGAATTTGTAAAAGTTAGTATGCTTTGCCTCTCAACTGCATTAACATGCCACAGGCTCAGACTGTTTTTGTGTAAAGGATGTCAAAGAACGGCACTTTTTCTAAAGAGAAGTTTGATATTTTGTATGCTTGTTAAGAAAGTACAGTATTGGAAATTAAAGGTGGACAACTGATAATTGAGGAGTATGTCACTTAATTTTTTATGTATATTACCTGTTTACTTGTACAACTTATTGTACAAATTACATGCAGCTTCATTTTCAAATGAATCCTTAAAATAAGGAAATCTTTTTAGGAAAACATTTACTTTTTGTATTTTTGATTTTAAAGGCATGAGTTATGTCAATTTTCAGTGTATTAATGAGGATTTTAACTTTTCATCAGGTTGAGTGTTTTCTTACTATATTATCTGTTGTGTATGTAGTTAGCATATTGTGTCACTGAACTGTTTAAAAATCTAGCATGTAGAGCAAGCCTGTTTTGTGGAAAATCCTTATTCATTAAAAAAAATAATCATGGCAGATTTTCTGCAAAAAAAAAAAAACATTTGCAATTCAGAATATTGGGGTTTTTTTTGTTTGTTTTTAATTTAAAGAAAGGTATTTTGCTTGCAGGAAAAAATAATACAGATTCATTTTAATGAGAATCTTTGAAATGTATTTATCTTTAGGGCATCTGGGCATCTTTATGCTGTTTGTCTTCTGTCTTTCTTGAAATAAAATGTACATACGTTACCTTTACATATGCTCTTGCTCAAAATTGTGAACCTGGTTACATTTCTCCTTGCTCTCTTTTTATGTTCAAACAGCAAAACCTATATAAGATCTAAACTTTCAACTTACATTATAATTGCTGAAAGCTTTACCAATTAAGTACATACAGACTCTATGGGCTTTCCCACAACTAGAAGGGAAATGTAAGCACCTGTATAAACCATTGTGCCGACAGGCACTTTAAAAACTACTTTAGCCACCTTTTATTGGTAAAGCTGCTTTTGATCCCCTGCTGGAGAGTTCCTTTAAGTCAACTGACAAATGAATCAAGCCTAACAAGATTCTGTAAAGAAATAAGCTAAGGGAAGATTTTCTATGGCCTGAGAAAATTTCTTGATATCAATTTAATATATTTTTTCATTACTTGATTTGAGTCATTTTAAATTTGTTATTAATACAAAATTTAGAATAAGTTAGAGACCGTTATCCAGCTTCCTTCCTCCTTAATATGTTTTATTAGTCCTTCTTTCCTTTATCTGTTGGTAGATGTTATCTTAAACATTTCCGTTTAGTTAAATGGAGGTGTTTATGAATTAATGTGCCCAGCCCCTTCAGTTCACACAGGAAACATGAACTCTTAGAAACTGACCATAGTAAATGCAGGAGAGATGGATACCTGATATGACACAGAAAAAGTGACCTATATACACATTACAACTCTGAAGTACATATTATAATTGTGATATTTCCGGTGGTAAATGTCTGACTTTTAAAGACATTCTTTTAAATATTTGTATTATTGTTAGGATGTTTTAATCAGTTGTGTTTTTTAACGCCATGTAATATATGTAGCCCTGATCAGATTTATAGCAGCATATTTCTCCTTGGGTCTTAAAGTTGACAACAATTTAAAAGCATAAATTGTTTTATATTAGCTAGTATGTATATTTATTTACCCAATGGCTTTATCTTATTTCCCAGAATTTGGAGGGGGATTTGTTGAAAGCATTGTAACTTCTATAAATGGCTATTTTCTTGTAACTGTCAGTGAAAATGGATGTGTATATTGTTTTTTTTTATATTCCTCTGGTTTTCCTGGTTTGTTGGTTTTGGGGGTTTTGGGGGGGGGATGGTTAAACGTAGAATCTTTTTTCTTTTTAAAGTTATCTTTGGCCAATGACTTTTTCAGTTAGATATTTCTTTCATTTAACCATCTATTAAGAAGGTTGTTTTTCATTGTTTGTTCAGTCAACTTCCCTGAAAAACAGAGACTTCATCTCATCAATGAAGAAAGCATTTCATTATTCCTACAAATCTATACAGCAAGCACAGACTTCTTCATAAGGACCAGATCTTTTCCACATCTTCTGTCAATCACATAAAGCTGAAATGTAAAGGACACTGAGGCCTTCATTTAACTGTACTCACATGATGGTGTTACGTACTACATCGTTAGCTAGTTACGGTTTTCTGACCTGAGTTCTCTTTGTCTTCCTAGGTATTTATTTGTTATCTCTTTTAATCTTGTGTATCTAAATTAACTTAGTGTTAATAGTCACCCACCGAATAACTATGCCAAGCAACTAGGAAAGAATGTTAATTTTATTTCCCCTTATAGGGGAAGAGTGGACTGGGAACAAAAATGTATGGGCCAAAAGGCCTTAGGCTGTCATTCATCCACTTTCTTGTTCCTCTCATGAAGCTACTTTTGAGTATACTATTTGAGTATACTATTTTTTTCAGTGCTTATGTGCTTGATTATGTCATTACTTTTCATGTCTTCCCCTGAGTTAAAAGCCTACTAGGAACCTGTATAAAATAGAATTTAAAATTTCAGAATAAGAACCACAGAACTCAGTATCTTAATATCTAAATGCTACGTAAATTATTATTGGAATCCAAGTCTCAACTCACTAGGATACATTTTTATAAAATGTTTCTCTGTATCTTGAATTAAAATTACTTGCCCAGAGGCAGAATTCCAGGATTATAATGCATCTTGAGAAATTTTTAAAAACGGGAGTTGAGAGCAAGAGGTTTATACTTACTTTATGGTTTTGATATTAGTATTTTAAAATACATCAGTGATTCCCAAACCTGATTGTTCATTTGTGTTACTCTGTTGAGCTTTCGAAATACAGATTCCTGAGGCCTTAACCTCTGCAAAATTGTCTGAGTCTAGAGTGGGGCTTGAGAATTCTGTGTTTTTAAAAAGCTCTCCAAATGATTCTAATAGATTTGGGCAATCACTGCCTAATGTGACAGTGGTTTGAGAGTAGGCAACAAAATAAAGTTTACCAGATACTTCTTTGTGGTGGAGTTTACCAGATTTCACAGAACTTATTCAGGATACATGGAGGAATAAAGAAGATTGAGGCTACTGCTCATTATCATTGTCTTTCACACTTTTTAAGAGTTTGCGTTTCTAGCACTTGAAATAGTTGATCATATACACAGCTGAAGGACATATCCCTGGACGAGACCATTAGATATATTAACTGTAAAATATTTCACTATTTTTTTATTTTATAAATCTTTGTAGAAATAAGCAATGAAATAACTACTTTCATCTTTTGAAATGGGATTTTTCAAGGCAGTGTCCTTTTGGCATTAAGGTAGTGGGGAGTTAATATTCTCTCTGCCTTTTTCCACATGAATCAATATAGATCATGGTCGTTTAAAATACTCGATTTAATTTCTACATATTTACTATGCAGTATAGCCGTGAACAAGTAATGTAGATTTAGTTTTCTCATCTTCAAATGCCCTGATCACCCTACCTCACAGGGTTGTTGTGGGGATAAATAAAACTTTTATGGAAGCACTTTTTTTGGGTGATATTTTATCAGCCATTAGAAACTATAATATCTAACAACTTATATTTGTATAGTGCTTTGTTTACAAGTACACAATATTTTCACATTTGCTTTCCCTTTTGGTGATCTCTAAGGAGCAGAGTAGGTTGGATACATGTATATATGTGGCTTAGTCCCTTTGGTGTTCACCTGAAAC